AATCTGGCGCCAAAAACAGCGCCGAACATGGCACCGAAAATGGCGTTGAACATGGCGCCGGAAATGTGGTGCCAAAAACACGGCCCCAAAAACAGAACGCCGAAAACTGCGTTGAACATGGTGTTGAAAACTTGGCGCCGAAAACACGGCGCTGAAAACACGGCGCTGAAAACAAGGCGCCGAAATTGCGCCGAAAACATAGCACCAAAAATAGCGTCAGACATGGCGCCGAAAATATAGCGCCGAAAACAGCATTGAACATGGCGCCGAGTATATGGCGCCGAAATCGGCGTGAGAATACTATAATGCAGCTAAAACAAGGCGCCGAAATTGCGCCGAAAACATGGCACCAAAAACAGCGTCAAAGATGGCGCCGAAAACATGGCGCCGAAATTGGCATTGGATATGGTACCAAAAATAGCGCTGAACATGGCGCCGAAAATGGTGTTGAACATGGTACCGAAAATGTGGCGCCGAAAACATGGTACCGAAAACACAGCGCCGGAAACTACATTGAACATGGTGCCGAAAACACGGCGCTGAAATTGGCGCAAAAATACCCCTGGTTGCAGTGCTGAATACAGTGCCATATCTAGCAAAAATTTTGACATTGGCACACTCAGGCAGCGTAAATCACATGACAGCGCCGACACACAATGGGTGGCATAAACTTGATTTCTGACACTGGCACACTCAGGCAGCATAAATCATGTGACAGCACCGACACACCTTGAATGGCATAAATTTAGGTTTTGACACCGGTGCACTCAGGCAGCATAAATCACGTGACAGCGCCGACACACTATGGGTAGCATAAATTTGATTTCTGGCACCGGCGCACTCAGGCAGCATAAATCATGTGACAGCACCGACACACTATGGGTGGCATAAAGTTGTTTTCTGACACCGGCGCACTCAGGCAGCATAATTCACGTGACAGCGCCGACACACCTTGAATGGCATAAACTAGGTTTTGATACCGGCGCACTCAGGCAGCATAAATCATGTGACAGCGCCGGCACACTGTGGGTAGTATAAACTTGATTTCTGGCATTGGCGCACTCTGGATGGCATAAATTTGATTTCTGGCACCGGCGCACTCTGGATGGCATGAATTTGGTTTCTGTCACTGACACACTCTGGATGGCAGAAACTGTATTACAGCACTGGTACACTCTGGGTAGCATAAAATTGGGTTATGGCAGTAAGTCTCCCTGACATACTGTATGCCAACATTTAAATATCTGCAGGGTCTCTATGCACTTCCAAACCCTCCAAAGCATACCAGGCATGTACCAACAAGGT